TTATTTGTTTGTTTGTTTTTTTTTACACCATACGGACTGCCTGAAATCTAGGGAGAATTTCATGGTTCATGAGAGATGCTTTACTTTTGATAAAAATGTAGTGAATTGCAAAAAAAAAAAAAAAGCCCAGGCAATGACTAAGAGGCATTATGGGGAGATGACCATTCACACCTCAAACTGTAGAAACTTAGAAAATAGTCACAAAATATAAAAAAGTCATTCATATCAGGAAACACTGTTTTCCTGCTAGTAAAAGAGAACATTGAAAAAATTGTTGTTGTTGTTTTTTTTTTTTTATAAAAGTTAAGGCTGTCCAGATCTTTAATGCAGAAAGTCTGTGGTCCCCAAAATTACATGTTATATTTTCATGTTGAGAGCAAGTTTCTGTGCTACAATTCTGACCGTCTTGTGTTAGGAGAGCAGAGGGAAGTGGAGGCCTATTTAAGACACATAAAAATGAAGTGGGGAGGTGGGGGTGGCGAGACTGGTCTAAGAATCCCCAGTGAAACTTTCCATTGCAATTTTTAGGATGTAATCTTTATCCTACACTTTTTTACACTCAAATAACAAGTATTTTGGTTTTTGTTAAAATGGGACCTCATTACGGAGTTTGTTGCAGCTGCGACAACACAGACACATGACTGCATTGTGCTCCTAATAAGACTTTTCCCTTAGAAAATGCAGGAAAGTTTTTCTGATAACCCCAGAAGAGGACTACACAATGAATGAACTGGCAGCAAGAACAAAAGCTCTCATTTTGCTCATTACCTCGAGCTGTTTTGTGATATGTTCCAGACTCCATATACCTGCTGGGCAGTACTAGCCAACAGGACAAAAGGTATTTTCTGGTCCTGTCCTAATCAGTGGAGTTCAATATACCTTCATTAGTAAAATAAGAAGCTAATAAAAGAGTGCATATTTACAAAATTTCTGAAACTTCTTAAATATGGGGAGAATGTGTGGTTTCAATAACGTGTATGTTGCAAAAATACAATGTAAAGCTGCTAGCCTTGGAATGATTTTCACTGTAAACAAGCCCACACCGCAGGAGGTGAGAATATTCCTACGAGAATGGGCCCTTTGGTGAGTTGAACTCTACCCTGGGTCCAGTGGCAGATTTGGCTGAGCATCTAGATTTTAGGTAAGAACAAAAGTCCTCAGTGCATATTTTGTCTGTGTTCATCTGTATGTTGAATGGACAGGGTTAATGCTTTTTAAAAAAGAAGTACTGGTGTAGCGGTTCGATTTTTGATGCCCACCATATTTCCTTCCTCTGTTGCTACCCATTGGTTAACTGGCATTAAATCAATGATCATTGTCAAGGGCACCTTGAAATGAAATTTACAGAAAGTGAAGAGAAATAAGCTGTCTTCATAATTGGCCTCGATGTTTTGCTCCAGAGATGATAGTGTACCTAGGAAACTATACTTACATGTTTTTCCCCTTTTATAAAAATTTGACCTTAACTGAAATATTCTATTTGAATATGGGGGAAAAAACATTTACCACCAGAAATTAAAATGAATTGGTGGGAATCTGAATCAACATTTTAGAAAGGAGTCAAAGCAAGTAACTAGTCTAAAATTTGAATTTTCTGAAGGTCTGAATAATTTTAGGTTTCTCAAGAGGCTTGAGAACACACATTTTGTTTTGGCCTGAAGGGAATTCCATAGACCCTCATCCTTTCTACTCCCAAAATTAAGTGACATTGCTAGACATTATCAAATCACATTTAGAGGCTAATAATTGTTGCTCATATAAGGAAAAAAATAATTACGGGTAAAAAAAGGTACAAGGTAAAAAAAAATTTCCCTTAGTTTGTCCTATTGTATATTAAAGGAACAAAAATGAAGGAATGGTCAATTACATATAAGTCATCAAGATTTTTCATCCACAATATATGTAATTCAAGTCATTGTGTTGTATACATTAAACGTCTACAGTACTATATGCGAATTATCTCTCAATGAAACTGGAGAAAAAGATTTTTCGGGGTATGTAAGGTTAACACTTTAAATTTTAAATAACTTAATTGTTAAATTAAATTTTCACAATTAAAGTATCTTTAATTAAATAAAATTTATACTTAAAAATCTCTATATAAACAAGGGAAATAGTCCTCCTTTCTCTTAAAAGGGAACTGATTATATGCTTTAAAAGAAAGCCTAACTAACCACTAGCTTAAAAAGGAACAAGATTTTGCAGCTTCATTACTGAATCGCTAATTAGTCTGTTTATGTAACTCAATACCCTGTGTTTTTGAAGGGAGTGACACCATACATAATAAAGTTTACACAGAGAGAATGCCACTAACATCAGGGAAGGCAGAACAATTGCAAATCAGTTTATATTTTCACTACTTGTTGTAGGTGGGATTATAGGTCTCATCCCATAAAAGTACTGGCTGAGCCTGACTCCTCCATTACGACAGGAAAATAATGCCAAATAGGAACATGTATATGCCACATTTAAGCACACCTTCACCCACAGCGGTCATCACAGAGCACCTTAATAAAGGCAACACATCTTACTTTAAGGACCATTTAATAAGTGTAGTGTTAAACAGAAGTCTAGTTCATATAATTTGCTAATTCCTAGAATAATAATGGATGAAGGAGACTGCAGATCACTGGTTGGTTGGCTCTTACGAAGACTGCTGCAGTGCGAGGAGAGATCCTGTCCTTCCTGAAGAGCTAGCTCACTTATTGAGGGGTAGGACATTTCAGGAAATTATCTGTTTATCCAGCAGCAAGCCCAAGATAGTTTTAAACTCCAAGTGAGAAAAAAATATATTAAACTATGGTAAACTTTTAGATTGCTTCTGTCCTAAAGAAATTAAAATAACAGATTGTCCAAAACATTGAAACTTTTTCTATGTAAATTTTGATGGCATTTTATTTGATGTTTAAGTGATGCTTCATTGACCATTTACTGAGGAATGTGAAGCTGAGAACAGTGAGATTTAGCGCCAACAAAACCAAATGTTATTTCTAGGTAATAGAGCAGTTTTATTTAATTGCAGCTGCTCCAGTGAAACTGACGTTTAGAGATAATTTTAAAAACCAAGTTGTGTGTGGATGGAATCATCTTAGAAAACAGAACTTACTAGGTCCTTTATTTATCTCTTTTTAAAAACTTTTTTGTTTACATATTGGTAATAAAATGTGTTCATTAAAAATGTAATTATTTGAGAAAAATTAACTTTGAAATAATTGTTTTTTTCCCTTTCCAACTGGAGTATTTATAATTTCAAGCCAAGAAATTAAAAATATTAACAGGTAGTTCAGCATTGAGAAAACGACTTAGGACAAATTTAATTGGCTTTGAATAAAACTCTCTGAAGCTACTTTATTTTCCTTTCCACAGAGGTTAGACTTGATGCAGTGTTCTTACTGTATGCTCTTTGAAATTATGTTCTATGAAACACAGATAATTTTGTGAATGATTTGCAACAATGCTGTGAACATGGGGAAATAAAGTTAAGATACCTCAGTTATTAATATCAGTTAAAATGTAATACCTTTATTTCACTACTATATTATATTATTATTTTACTAAATTGCTTCCATTTGGTTTTGTTCCACATGTGGCTGGCTCCTTTGGGGGAAAGCTAAGACGTTATTTTAAGAAGTATTCATTGTGTTCTAGAAAAAACTGTTCTTTCACTTTCTGGAATTCCCAGAATTTTAAGAAACAATACTTTAAAAGGCTATGTGCCACTCAGTATCTATTGAATGAGTTTAAATATTTAATGTCGAGAAGATAAGTCTTTCTTAATCTTTAAAAAATTTTTTTGACATTTTAAAGTTTCCTTTTAAACCTCCATAGTGATGTTCTGGGGACATTCTCTTTCTCATGGGGACAGAAAGAAAAGAGTCCAGATGTAAGGCTCTGTAATCAACCGGCAGGAGAGAGGAACAGGGAATGCAGTTACAGCACCATCCACAGTGAAGGGAGCACCACAGTGACCATTGCCAGCCAGAGAGACTGTTGGAGCGATGTGGTCGCTGCAGAGATACTCCTCAAAATGATCCCTTCATTGAAAGTAGATTAACATGATCAGAAAATACCCATGAAAAAGGAAACAATATAAAAATTTACATTTCTTTGAGATCATAGAAGCAAACCTCATGGGTTTGCCTAAGTTTGGAGATTACTACTGATGCTTAAAATAATATTTGTTTCATGTCCTTAGAAAATTAAAAATGGTGCTTTGTATAGAAAGGGTCCATCAGGTAAGCCATAGAAAGAGAAAGAGACAGCTGCTGACGGGCAGGTTATGCGATCAGTCCCTACATTTCAGCTCTGACAAGAACTGGGTTCTTTCCTTTTACATCCACTTCATTTGAGTTTTAACAGAAGGAATGCCATAGATGCACAATACTGTAATCTGGAAGCTTATGTAAGGCAGCAAAAAGCATCACCCTAGATTAGACAGACTAAGTAAGGTCCGCTTTTGGCTACACCAGCTAGAGCCAACAGCATTTTGCCCCACAAGATATAAGAAGCAAAGATCCACAGCAAAGGAGGCCAGTGAGAAATTAGCGACGTGGTGAGTGACTACATTATAGGAACACATTATAAAATGAAACCCCCAGTGCCTATGGGTTCAATTCCAGTCAAGTGAATTAAGGCTACTATATAACTGGCTGATATGAAGAGTCCATTCCAATCGAGCAGTAAGGAATCGATTCACTCTTGAAGACACAAGGAAAGGTGTAGAGGAAAAGCGAGTTCTTGGAAAGAATGAAGCACACACATGCACGTTTTCTCTCAGGTGAGGAAACTGGAGGAAAAAATGAAAGGGAAAAAAATAAAAGAGATCAAAGCAATCCAACTGCAAGGCAAGGCAGGTGTTTGCTTCCAGTTCACAGTATTGCAGTTAGTGGTACAGTGAGGTCTACGGAAGTGGTGGAGAGCAGAGGCTGCCCAGGAGAACAGGGAAGAAAGAAGTGGTCACATGACAACACAGCACTGACAGCGCTTTTTCTTTTGGGTACCTGGGGCAGGCTCTGTGGCCAGGCTCTCTTCCTTCCCTTCTGGGGATGAGGGCTCTGTGGTGTCGGAGACCGGCCTTCCGGACACAAGCTCGGCCGCGTTCCCATCGATCGTGGACACGTCCGTCACTGTCTTCTCCCTCAGCGACTTCTCATCGTCTTCGTCAATGAGGACCAACTCAGCCTTGATGGTCTCATCATAGCCTAGCACCTTTTTAGTCTCCTCTTCATCCTCAATATTTTGGTAGCCCATGAAAATCATGGTGACTGGCTGATCCAAATTTGCCTCGGGGCCTCCAGTGCTGGGGGCTTGGGCCTGCTGCCCTGGGTTCCCAGAAGAATGATCTTTCCTAGACTTATGTACCATCTCTAACTTGGCTTCTTTGCAGAGCATGTGTTCCTTAGGGTGGCTGAGGCTCCCATCTGCAATCACAGTCCTTTCTGACACGCGCCCTCCTTTCAAACTTGATTGTCCAGCCTTCTGAATAAGCTCCTCTACGTGCTTGGCGCTTAATTTGTGCACTCCGTTTTCTACTACGGTGCCTCCTGAGTGCACCTCATACACTACTTTGGTACCATCATCACAGACTTTGACTCCTCTCTGATGGACCCCCTCTGGGCCAATCGTGGCGGTAGAGAGAATCTTGGTCTCTCCTGTTTGTTTGTCTTTCTCCACATTAATTTCCATGGCGTACACAGCTTGAATGAAAACAAGAGAAAGGAAGTGCATGTTACAACAAAAAAAGCCAGTGAATGGTTAATTGCCAAACAGACAAAAAAGGTGTTGTGCCCTTCCTAGTCTAAGTGGCAAGCATCATGTTAGAGTGCGTGCACGTGTGGACAGAGGTGGTTACGTATGTGTTTGACCACAGCAGCTTAATGTACTGGGAAGAAAGAGGTACAGAGTGACCGGATCTCAATGGAATATAATGCCTACGTCTAAAGAAGACCTGCCCAAATAAGGCCTTATGTGGCTGTGGAGATCCAGTGTAAGGAGGAACAGGAAGGATGGCAACATGCAGTTCACCTTGACGGACAGCTCACCTGAGGCTCACAGGCAATTTTAAAGCCCTTGGTTAAGAGGTAGTTCCAAAATCTTAAATCTTTTTGCTTTTAAACTCTTTACCAGTGCTCTCCTGTTTTCCCAACATTCCCCTTTTATTATTAATGGAGACTAGGCAAAGAATTAATGGAGAATAGGAGAATTTGTGCAGGTGAGACATGGCTATCTTCCACTGCACTAGGAAACAGGAAAAGCTACCAAAGTGGTCAGATTATATGTCCTGTGAGTACTTCACTCCGTAGCTAGATTTCTAAAACAAGGTCTGGAAAAAGAACAAGAGGAAGCATCATCTCATGACACCAGAGTCTGAGGGAGATGATCACAGAAGCTCTTTCTTCTTCCATGCACACAGTGCTGAGTCCTCGTGATTCTGGCCCATACTAGCTGTCCCACCTGTGGCCATCTCTCTGTGCCACTGTCACCACTCCACCTGAGGTCCTCAGTTTCTTCCTCTTCCCTAAACTTCTGCAAGAGCTTCCTACCTGGTCTTCCTGCTAAGCCTCCCAACTTCCTGCGCCCTCTTCAATTCATCCCCAACCCTACTGCCAGTGTGGCCTTGCTAAGAACCATCTCCTTCCTGTGCTGTGGACCTGGTGACACACACCATCCTTTCAAATCTGTTACCTCAGAGTCTTCCTGGGAGGTGCACATTCTGGATGGGAGGAAACTGGACCTTAGACCCAAGAGCCAACTGTCCCCAGGCTGCCAACCCTTGGATGATCCATGAATACATCCAGTTCCGCAGCTTCAAAACTGAATTCAACTTTTTTTCCCCAAAACTCCTTTACCAGTACCACCCATCTTTCAAGAGCGAAATCTTAGAGTCACATCTGGCTTGTCCTTTTCTTCCTAATTACCTGTAACCAAACAACTGCTGGGAGTAACTAATTCTACTTCAGGACTACCTTCAGGCATCTCCTCAGCACCTCTCCATCACCACTGATGGAGACTGAGTCTCTCCTGCTCTCTGCACAATAGCCTGGTCTCCTATTCACCTGCCACAACTCTCTCTCATGGTCAGAGGGCTAAAGGTAACCCTGCTTTTGAATGACATGAGGAGAAAGAATTTTTTTTTAAAGACTGCGGAAAGGGAAAATAGGGAGGAGGAAAAGAAAAGAAAGAAGAAAATAAATTTCAGACAAAGAAAAAAAATCAAAGACCATATGATGTAGACCTATGGTGGCCCCTGCCTGTATGCTCTGTCCTGCCCACAGAGTTACCTTATAAACCTGCTGTTGGTTCCTTGTGTCTGTATAGAATAAACAACCCCTCAACTTGGGGTACGATCCCTTCAGAATTCGTCTGCGAGCCTACTTTCCAGGCTTGGCGTGCAGGCCCTCTCCTTGCACACACTCTCCAAACACAGCAAACTTCTTGCTGTTCTAGGATACTCGGCACCTCCATGCCTGCTCTTCTGTCTGCCTCTGCTGCTCTTTATCCCTCTCCACTGGCACGTGTGTCCTACGTCACATCTCTGTTACCACAGCCGAGTGTCCTTATCCCTTTCTGAATGACTACAAGTCCCCCATCCACGTTAAGAAGATTCAAACACTCTTTCTTCTGTTATATCAACCCCCTTGTCCTCGTGCAACCAAACACCATCCCAAAAATGTCCTGCTTTTGTTAAGATTTCCATCTTTTGACCTTCTATACATCCCACTATGGTTGTGCATCAATGTCCAGGTCACTGCCCCTTCTTCCACAAGCTCTCTTGAGCCTTCCATTTCTAAGTCATCTCTCTTTTAAGATAACCTGAGCACTTCTTCTGAACCTGTCTGAAGGCATGTAAATACTTTCTGCCCAGTAGAAGAATTCTTTTAGAGATGTTTTATTTTTCCCATTGATTTTTAGGATCTGTGTAGGCTCGTTATTTTTGCCTGACATCTTTTATGCTTCCTCCTCTCCTACCTGATATACACATCTGTGAAACAAATACTACTAATTAAAAAGTCTAATTTGGTTGTCTTAATCTAGTCAGAAACACTTTGTATAATATGACACCAATGAAAAAGTACACACAGTAATTACTGTTTGAACTAGTTAATAAAAACAGCAATAAAATTGTTCCATCTGTTTGCATAATAAGATACAATCTGTTTATGGTTAATGCTCAACAAAAAAGTTTGTGAAGCAAAATCCAATGCTGATTTTCATTGTGTCCATTTTGAAAGTTTCACTTATTTAGCATGAAAATCTTGAGTTTCCTTAAGTGACACAATGGAGGTCAACCACTATTGGTTCTTGAGCTGCAGGGGCTCACACAATTATGGTCATATCAAGAGAAATACTTGTTTCAATTATTTCCTGATTTTCCAAAAGATGTATCATCAGAGAACTAGAATAGGCATTTAAAATTTTGTATGGACTCCAAAAGTTTGTTCTTTCAATAATACATTTACACTAAAAAGCACAACAGTTTTAGGTGAAATATTATGTCCCATCACTATTAACACACTCATGGGACATATTTACAAATAAAAAAGGTAATAATGATTGTCAGTTGTAGGCACAATATTCAATGATCCCCAAACTTCCAGTAATATGTGAACAAAATGACACTCTGACCTATGATCAATTCCAAGTATAAAACAGATACTTCTATTTTTATATCCCTATGGAATAAAATACAAATTATGAACATGGGCATCTTGAAAACAAGCCTCTATTTCTACCCACCATTGAGAATGCTGTAACTATTGGTCCTGTTTCTCCCTCTCCACCGTTCTTATCCCAAATCTCATTTTGTCTTTGCCTGTTCATAGAATCAGAAACTGGACAGAAAGGAGAAGTTCTTTACTAGATGATCCATACAATAAAGAAATAGATCCATACAATAAAGAACTGAGAAAGCAGGAGTTTAGTGGAAGACATAGTAAATAAAAGCTGTTAGGATTTGCACAGAGAGGGAATGGAGGGCTGTAGTGATGGATGGTGGTTTGGAGAGAGTGCTATGTGGAGGAAAGGAAAGGAAGAGGAAAAGAAAGGAAAGGAAATATGAGAAGAGCTTCTGGGTGGAGATCTGAATTGAACTCCTTTTAATAGCCTCCAGGAAAAAACCCACTTTTTAATATTTCCTTTTTTCTGATTTTGAACGATATCTTGCTGAATGTGAAATCACTTTGGGACTCAATCATATGTGACAGGTTTAATTAGGATTACATATTTATATTGGCATGTAGTACTCTATTCTTGCAATATTTGTAGACTGTGAAGGTATAACATTTTAGGGCATTTTATAATCAAGTAAGCCTAGATACGTTATATCATAAAATACAACATCTATATTTTTTCCCCACAGAAAAACAACGTTTCAAAGGAACCATAAATTTTTAGCTACTTTCTTCAGAGTTTAGTCTCAGAACCCTTGTCTGCTTTCACTCTCTTTTCTAGAAAGGAGTACCTCAGTGGACATTTTGAGAAGCTCTGACTTACCACACAAAGACAATATTTAGATTTCAAGGACACATATATGAGAGTGTTATTTAGACATTCAGAAAACCACACAGGAAGTGTGAATGCTTATCTTAAATGTGTTGTCTACAACAAGCATTTATATATTGCTCTGATTCTTAGCCAACACTATTTCAAAGGGTGAATATAACCAGTTGGAAAATAAGGCTTACATTTTAAATTCAATGTTTTTTTCATGTACACAATTTGAAAACTCTTCTTTTCACTGCTGCCAAGTAGTGCATAGAAAAGACATCTCACTGACATCACGCCCTCATCTCTCACCCAAGAGCACTCTCTGCCCTGTGTGCCCTCAAGCTTCCCCACGGCGCAAGCGCACTACAGGCTGTGCAGGGGCGGGGGTCACAGGGTCAGTGCCTGTGCTCATCTTATTGGAAAAAAAATGAGGAGGGGGTGTTGCTCATGGGAGGAGGCCTTCTGGGGAGTCCAACAACCCAGTGAGGCAGCGGAGTAAAATGTGCATTTCATTAAGAAAAACGAGAACCAAAGTGGGTAGTTTCCGCAAAAGGAGAGAAACAAATGACTGAACTGGGTCTTTGACTTCGGGCCTCTGTGTTTGGTTTCTTGGTTCTTGCTCCCTCATCACTCTCTTGTCAATAGAACCTCCTTGCAAGTGCAGAGAGACTCCAATGGAGATTGACAATCTCAATCTCTAGGTTCAGAAAACATCCAGGAGAGGGCTAGAATGGGAGGCTCCTGGGGAAGACCCCTGCCTAGAACCAGGGTGAGGGTGGAATGGAGAGCTTTTGTGTCTGCGTGCTGCAGGATCCAGAGATGGGTGTGGGAGCCTAGAATGCCTGACTCCAGTTCAAACTCACTCCCCTGGCTCTGTGAGCTCTCTTGTGACCTTCAGTTGTTGCAGTGAGCAACTGTAAGTGCTGGAAGAAGTCTAGGGCAGAACACCTGACACAAGTAAGGGGTGGGGGGACATGAGTCAAGGCAAGATCATGCAAAACATGTCACTGCGTTCCATGAATTGGGAAACCCAACCAGTGTTGAAGCCCGTGACTCAGCTCCTCCCCACTCGCTGGCTGTGTTCAAGGTCTCTAGAGCGAGTTGGAAAATGTCAAAGATACAGCCTGTCTGAATCATCAAGTCCCTTTCACTCCTTTACAGAAACATATGCCGTAGGTGTCAGGATAACTGCTGGATGACCACGCTTCATAGCTGTCGATTTAGGGTTCCCGAGGGCCAGAAGACCTCCTAATGGTGTGCCACATGCCTCTGACTTTGGTGCAACGTTTTAATCAGAGAAATGATGAAAACTAACAAGAGCTGGCTTTTCCAATTTAAGGTGACAATCAATCCACTGAGAAGAGGGAGGCAGTAAAGTGCCACAGCCGTGCACTCTAAAGAGTACTGACAAAACAGATGAGAGGTTCCTGCTTTCAAAACTGTTACAGCTGTTTTCAAATGAAAGCTGACACAGAAATACAATATGTAAACATAAGCAAGGAAGATCATCTGTGTTTGAAGCGGGAGACAACACAAGGCCTGACCACCAGATCCCCAACTTCATTCACTCCCCACCTTCCCTCCAGCTCTCCTGAAACTCCATGGGACCCCTGACCACTCACAAGGGACGGCACTGGACAGTAGCATCAAATCTACAATGACAAGAAGGGGCATGGCTCATTCTTATTCTTGCTTTATGAGACGGAGAAATAAAGAATTGTGTAGGTTCTAGTGGGCAGGAGGGACAGTATGTATATGGGGGTGTGGGGTAGACTGCATGCTTCACCCTAAATGATTCTGGAATAGGGACTACACTAATGACAAATTGAGGCTGAACACGGTCAAGTGACTTAGCGGCTTTACTTTAGAAGCTGAAGCTGAAAGGCCCTGATCTGAGTGGCATGGTCTGCTCTGCTCTGTGAGGGGGGGTCACCCGCCCCCCCAAGTGCACTGGGGAGCTCTGAGCATTGCCCAGAAAGACAAGAGGCAACGTGGGGTGAGTAGTGTTCAGAGAGGGACTGGGTGGCGGGGGGCAGGGATGTCTTAGAGCAGTCTCATCATGTGGGGACCAGCTGAAGAGACTGGGGCTATGCACACAAAGGGATATGGAAAGACAGGAAATGATAGTCGTTTTCAAAACTTAAAGGGAAATCAGAACTTAGATTGTTCTGAGTAGCTCCAGGGGGTAGCGCCAATGGGTGGAAGGTGAAGGCAAAGGAATGATAGCTCCATCAGGGAAGGACTTCCCCACAGAGCCAATCATAGACAGACTGGACCACTCGAAGGGAGACTAAGCGCCAGCCACTGCGGGGCACGGCGTGATTTGAGGGCCTCCCCTCGGCTTCTATGTTTGAACAAGGGAAGCGAAGCCTCCTAATTCTGAAAAGCAATGATTCCAAATAAATACCCATTAAGAGCTAGAGGAAAGGATGCTTTGGTGGTGGGCGTATGTGGTGACAGAGATCTGAGGAATTGTGAAACTGTTCCCCTAAATCATATACAGTGTTGTAAATCTACAACAAAAAATTAAAATTAAAATAGAAAAATAAACACCAATTTATACGGAATTCTAAACCTCTCAAACTCTAAACAACCGGAATATTTGTCATACTGCTGATAATGACAAGTGACATTTATAAAAATAGCCCTCAGTTTATACAAATTTCCAAATGGGCATTCCTAAAACAGGATGGCTTGTATGTAGGAGAATTCTAGTGACAAGTGTCATTAGCTGGCTTGCTATCCACGCTCTGTGTAGTCCCTGTTCACCATAATTGGTAAGGAATCTGAACACTCTGTTCCCAAAACAGCCTGGGCAAGAGTTAACTACATCAAATGCAACTCCTTTCACAACTCTGCTTACATACATTTCCAGGATAGATGTCTTTATGCAAATGAGCTCTTAACAAATCAATAAAAACACATGCAAACTTATTTTTTAAAAGATCCTTTTTAAAAAGAAAGCATTTGTTATTTCAGATGCTAACGACTTTGCATTATCTTCAAACATAAGGGTCTGCAGGATGCTAGGTTGTGACAGTACGTGTACTCCCACACACAGCACTAAAATCCCAGTAGCACACCGCTCTTGACTTCACACTCCTTGATTAATAACACTGCTCACATCCCTTTAAAATCTCTTAAAAATTAGTTCTCATACACTGTGCCTAGTCTCTGCCTGAGCCCGTCCATTCTTTGCATGAAGTGCAGGTACATGTAAAAGGAATGAGAAATTGTTCAGCCACAACTACTTGGAATTTTCAACATCCACATCTCTATTTTTTTCCTCTGCAGCACATGGCAAGTTTATTAAGGAAAAGAGAAAAAAAGAAAATGAGAGACGCTTGCATTGGCACAGACGGGCAGGCTTAAAGGATGAGACCTGCCTATACCCTCACCTCTAATAACAAGTGGGGAGGCGTGACTTTTAAACAGTTATTACCTGAGTTGAGCTCCAAAGGGCACCTCGGAGCACGCAAAGGAGGCTGCAGCTTAGGACACTGCTAATAATTCCTTTGTTGACAACTGGAGGCTGCAATTTCTGCTGTATCCATCTTGTTACTGTCCAGGGTTCTGTGGCCCGTGCCCTGGTTTGACCACATACCTCTTACAGTCCCACCCAACTCTAGGATTCTGTGAGTCTGTATGTAAAAGGAATATGCTAAGATGTTCACAGAGGCAGGAGATCCTAAAATGGATCAGTGCACATGACAACAACGGATATACTTACTTGCCATTTTATTTCACTTTTTTTTTTTTTTATGATCCTTATTCACATTTTATTTTTTTTTATTTTTTTTTAAATATTAAATTTTATTTTTATATTCCCCCATACAATTGCAAACGCCCCATTCTGACCCCAATCCTTCCCCTCCCGCCCCCCACCCCCCAAAAAGTGTCTTTGGTTCATAGTTTTTTGTTGATTTTGATTTTCACTTTCTTATATTCATTTTCCTGGTTTATTTCACTTTTATAATAAAATTAAGAGTATCTGTTTCATAAAGTATTTAGATGGCCTCTATAAAAGACTTCCTCTGACTTAAAAGTTCATGATTGTCCTGTGGTTTATAAAAATTCCCATTGTGTGATTTCTTTTAAACATAAACTTACCTAGGTTCTATAAAGCATAATCTGATGTTCATGTTTGAATTCGCCTACATCGTCACTAACTACGTAACCTCGGGCATTTCATTTTTTTCATTTAACCCCTGGCCCTCAGTGCATTTCTGCATAGAGCAAAAGGTACAGAGGTTTATTGTTCACATCCTTCTAGTTCTGATTTCTGAGTCACAATCGCATTGAACAGAGCAAATCACAGTTCTCTGTGTACTTGACAGCCATGAACGCATTATTCTCTAAAATTCATAATTGTAAGAAACATTAGCCAGAAACATGTTCTTGAAATTGCTACTCCACCGCCCCCAATATGCCACAGTAGCTAAGAAATAACTCCAGAAATGGGAAGACTTGAAAATATATGTTCATAATATATAAACAGCTCAGTTCCCAATGGATTCCAGCAACGCACTTAGACACTTTGAAAATGCTCTCCACCTAGCTCCCATTAAAATTCATTTAATATTGTACAATTCCATACATATGGAAAATAAAAATCCCTGGGGACAGAGTTTAGGTTAACATTGAGAATAAGGACAGATAAAATAAGAGCACAAAAAGGAGAGACAGGCGACTCTGAAGCTGGAGAGAAAACTGATTTTCTAAATAATCCCTCCCATTTGGTCCTCATTTACTCCTTAGGGCCCAGGGTCTGCCCTGCTTGGCCTCTGTAAATTCTATCCCTGAGGTTGGGTTGAGGACAGGGTCCCACTACGTAAGGATATCTGGGCATCCCTCATTAATAAAGCTCAGAGAAATGTAAGCCTCATGGCCAGTCTGAGCATTCAAACCAAATAGCTCCCCAGCACTTACCAGCTGCTCTGCTGGTCCCGTCCTGCCCAGGTGAAGGCTCTGCTGCTCGTGAACAGAGGATTGGCAGGTTGGGGAGCTGGGAGGAAATGTAATTTACTGCATCTGGTAGCAGAGAACAGGGAATACAATTAGGCACAGTGTCGGGAGACCCAATGGGTTCACTGCCGAGACAGCAGCTTGCTGCCCTACATAATGGGCTGCTGAGGCACGAGAAGATCAGGGTAAACAAAGACAAGCATTTGCCCAGCGACTGGCATTCAGCAGAGTAGCTGAGGTAAGAGGGATCCCGGCCAGAGTGCTCAAGCCCACAACTGCATTATGTATTAAAAGATTCATCAGAAAGCTCTAGATTCTAAGTACAATGACTTCAGGGGGAAGAAACTAGAGAGGCTGATAAAAGCCATATCAACTAGGTGGGAATGACCAAAGATGGGACATCAAACTAGAAATGTGTGTTCCACAGACGTAAAAGATCTAGGGCTCATTCCCTGAAATATAAATATAATGTGAGATACCTGATTCATTCACAGGACCAGTTTTATAGGCATAAAATAAAAAATAATAGTAATAATAAACAACTCAGACTTGAACCCACAATTTCAATTTCCTGGCTGGCATTTCAGGCAGAAAATTCTGAGATTTCAAATAAAAACACCATGATTCACCACAGGCTCAGCTGAAGGAAATGTGCAGGGGAAATAGAAGAAAGAAGGAAACCACTGAGGTAAGACAAAGAGAACTAGTGCATCTCTCAGAGGTGAGTGAGAAAACAAAGGAAAAGTCTAGAAAACTGGCTTCTATGTGAGCTGACTCCTTCCTGTATCATGACCACGACCGTGTCACAGAATCCTGGAATGCCCCTCACTCATTGCAGATGACAGCTACCTGCTTGCTGCGTCTCTCCACTGAACATCCACAATCACCTCAAACTCAGCATGTCCAAAACAGAGTTCTCATCTTGGTGCATCAGCTGTTTTACCTGTTCCCTGTATTTCCTTTGGCACACAATTCATCCAGGCCTTCAGGCAGTGTCCTTCACTGCCCTCCCTCGCCACCCAGGATCCCATCAGTCTCTTAGCCCCTACCTCCTTACATCTCTTCTGTCTGTTCCATCCTCAGCATCCCTGTTGACCATCTCTTAGTTCTGTCAGGTTTCTGTTTTGTTTTGTTTTGTTTTTAAATTTAAATTTCATTCTGGAAAGGACCATGAGTAGACACAGAATAAGGATTAGGGTAAATTCAATTCTACACCAACTATATGGTTTGCTGACTCACATGTGAATCTCAACAATCCAATATATGCTGATAAATGAACTATAATGTTCTTAGATCAAAGGACACTTTCTGTGTGTGGGGGGGGGGTACAGTTTCCCTAAGGGGATAGATTTTTTCATATCCATTGGGGAGAAGGAAGGAGAAATCCAGGGTAGACAGGCAGGCCTTAGGTTGGAGTGAGACCTGGACCCTATGTGTGTTGCCATTTGGACCCTGGTCGGTCAGACAAGATTGAAGGTCCTCCACTGGATGGAAGGAAGGTGGATAGTTGAGATGATGGTGACTTGGAGAAAGCTATGAATCAGCCTGCAGGACCCCCTGAATATGGGCCAGGAATTGAGTCAGAGGATCTGAGTGTGGCCATGTGTGTGTGAAGTTGCATTTGTGTCTCTAGGTTGAACTGACCTGCCGTTGTTCTTAAAGCTAGGCTCTGACTTAGTCCCTCTGTTGGGAGTTACATGAAGGGACTGGGCCCCAAACCTGCACATGGCAAAACCAGACAGAGTATCAACTTGGGATAACCCAGTCCTGAGGGGTTAGAGGTAGATTGCTAACAGAGGCCCATGGGAAGAACAGAGCAGCAATGTAAGGCTGGAGAGACAGCTTTGGGGACAAGATATAATAAATCCAAGCATATTGGCAGAACTACCAACTTCCACTGAGGAATTCCAGAAATCTCCAATCAAATGAAATGGAGACTCAAGCCACTAAGACCAGATGAGACCTCAGGAATACGTGTCTAGTGCATTCTATGCTAAATACAGAGTTTCTAGGACATCCCTGAATACTGAAAGTTTCAGTAGCTAGAAACAAAAGGCAGCTGCAGATAGGGATTCTGTGTCTGAAAGAGCATGTGTTTTCTAGTGCTTATGTCTCAGCCTCTCCCGGGAGGCAGCGCCCTGCTAGACGAGAGCAGGTGGTGGAGTTGCCTTTTCCCAATGTTCAATGGCCACAAGCTTGAGGACTACAGTTCTTGGTGGTGCTGGTGGTGAAGGGGCGCCGAAGCTACATGGCTCCTGCTAGAGATAAGGGAGTGGTGAGGAATGTGGCATGAGGAGGAGGAGGAGAGGGCTGGCCTCTCAACATACCATTCAGTAGTAAACCCTGAGGTGGTGCAGCTAGGAGGTGTCTCAGAAACCAACACAAGAGTAAGAAACAGGGTGTCAAAGCTCCCATGGGAAGAATCTCTTCACATAATGTCAATCAGTCAACTCCCCCCTTCCTGAAAAAGTTAGGGTTGCCTCTCATTATGCTTCCCATTGTCTGAGAAGTGGAGTACAGTCAAATACAGAGCAGAATTGAAGATAATGCTTCTTCATAGATAGCACAAGCTATGAAGACATGAATTCCCAAAGCTAGAGGGGAAAAAATGATGAAAATATGACTTCTGGGCCATGGAAGACATACTTTGGTTTTCTAACAACTGATATGGATGTGGGGAGGGTGCCAGGCCACCACAGACTGGGGTGGGTGGACACTAAGAAGATCAGTATAGTACAGTAAGGACTGAGATAGGCCCAGGACAGACATTTCCCTTTACCCATTCTAGTCAAGAGTTCTACATCAGCTACTCAGTAGATAAAGAACAGATTTAGCACTAGACACATGCTATAAGCAAGCTACAGCTTAGACAAGGGTCTATTTAGGGCAGGAAAAACAACCCATGAATGGGTGAAGATTCTGCTACATAATATGGGGAGTGGAGAAGGGAGAAAATGAGGGGGAAATCAGAATGTATATGGCCAGGAAATTCCATTCAAAATTGTGATCCAGCATTTTAGTACTTTATTTCCTCTCCCACACATAGGACACCTGAAGTGGGTCACGGCACACACGCACCAACAGCCATCTCCTGGCACCCCATTAATTATTTGTAGCATTATCTGCAGCCTTTTGTAGAGCTGCATGATCCTAGCTGGATTCAGAAGTTGGGTTGTTTTGTTAAGGCATTATTATTTTATGCTAATTTTTTGTTAGCTCTCGGCAACAACAGTGGGTTGATTTAAGAGGGCCTTGGCTACTTTGAAATCAGAGAATGAGAAAATCATCAGGTTCCAAAGACCTTCAGCTGCCTGTGCTCCAGATTTTACCCTCAGACCACAGCATGACCACAATGACCACATTCTTGGCAGGACATATTCCCTCCTTTAAACCTCACCCTTGGTTTGTGGATGTGACAGAATGGTCCTCCCTGACCACAGATGGCAGGAGTCATAGTTCAGGGTGACAGTGAAAGTCACAAAAACGTTCCCTGATGTGTCTGAGGATCCCTAAGCACCTTGCAGCCTCAAGCCCAAGTTCAAAAAGGGAAGGAGGACAAACATGAGGACAACTGTCTGTAGACTCTCTGTAGTCACCATAAGTTTTCTCACCTCTAGGAACTGTGTAGGTAAATGAATGGAAATGATGGAAACAACTCAGGAGAAACAGAGAATTCAGGATGAACATGAAAGAGCAGTGACATGAGTTTATAATATGGTTTCACGTCTCACACCGCCTTGCAGACATGATGTGCAGGCTCCGCCCCTTCCCTCATCACAGAGAAGAATCTAAGAAAGGCCCTGGCTTAGGAAGGGAAAGGAGAAAATGAAATGAAAGCATAAGAAGTCAATGTGCACCCTTCCGGTAAGTGGGTGTCTGCGGATCTGTGGGTCAATGTCTGATCCCACCCGTCTGACACTTAGGACTGACAGTGTGCACGGCCTCAGGTGGTCTCGGGTGCCAGGCAAGCTTGCTAGTTGCTCCATGTTGCCACCCCCAAGTCCCCCAAACAGGCAGTTTATGCCCATTTCCAAAGCACAGAATGACAGCTCAGATTTGGCTGCATCCTAGAGAAGGCTTTGGAGCTGCAGGTGCCCCTTCTCGAGTCCCTGTGGCTTGACCCTGACTTCTCTCTGTCAACGTGCCCTGGGAACATAAGGGTTAATTTAATATATTCCCAAAGACAAGTGAACCAAACTCCAAATATCCTGCCTTTCACTTTCTGGGAACACACACACACACACACATACACCCCAAACTTTTTTTTGGTCCAAGTCAGAATTATCCTTAATACAAGCATCTTAGCTAATTCAGAAAAATGCATGATACACCTCTGCACTTTTAAACCCTTTCCCATATTTTTCCAAACGATCCTGGGAAAACACTGATGCCAACTCTTATTTCAGGTCCTGATCATCTTCCTAGTTTAGAGACTGACTTTTCTCTAAGAACCGAGTAAGAGGAGGAGAGCTGATCCAGCTCCAACATTTTCAAGCCAGTCTAGCTGAGGCCCAGAGTGAAAGTGGGAATCACGTGGTTTTCATGAGTTTGCAGTTAAGGTTAGGGGTACAAGGCAAAGGACAGGAAGTACACAGGCCCAAGTTCACCCCCACGGCCCAGGTAAGGACCAAAAGGGTAGAGGCAGGAAAGGGAGGGTCTTGCTCCTATCAGGATGGGGACAGGGAGCCAGGCCCTGCTCTTACCCTTCATGTGCTCCAGGCCAACCCTACCTCACAGGGAGGGAGTTCTGCCCAGTCCCATCTCCCTGGAAGGCTGGAGAAACTGTTGTTTTCTGGTTCAAAGAAACCCAGAGGGCTTGGAAAGTTTTCCTCAACACCAGATGATGCTCTTCACACGTGTGCTGTCATCTTGGGGAAGTCGCCACCAGTACACATGGGCTAGTGTCTGTCAAGGACTGGTCCTGATCTGAGCATTTTTCAAGACCTGGCTGAGCATTTTTCAAGAAAGGCCCAAGCAGTGAACCTTTGGGGTTGAATGGGAAGGAGAACCACCGGGCCAACTGTGGAAGACTAGAGACTGTCCCTGAGCGAGAGAGGCGATGACAATGAGGGACATGAACCTCCTCAGTGGCCTGCAAACAGCACCGCCCTTCTTTCTGACGCCCTTACGAACCAACACGTCCTAATGCAACCCGCTAAGCTGACCGGGATGACAACATTCATTTCCAGATGGGCAGCAATCACTTCACTTACCTCCATCCGTGTTGGAGAAGCTCTGTGGAAACAAAAGCAGGACAGAGGGTTACTACACAGTGGAGGAACCAGCCCTCATTCATTCTGTCCCCTAGCCCCCCTCCCCTCACCACACACACACACACCCAGAATTTGACCCCTGTGGGCAAACCCAGTGCTCTCAATTTCTTCTGGAAAATGGCGATTCCAAATTTTGAGGGAAGACTCTGCCATTCCCACCTTATACTGAATTTCTCCCACACAGACTTATTTCCATTTAGCCAGCAAATACGCTTGGTTGTGCTGGAGAAGCCACATCAGGAAATCTTAACATATAAAGATTCATTTGATTAGACTGATTTCCTGTGGCTGATGGGCACCTGAAGAAACAGGAATCACAGAATGGAGGAAGGGCCTGAGAGAGGCAGAGCCTATTGGCTTTATAGAGTGCTCCTTCCTGGCTTCGTGGCAGCACCTGTGTTTATACATAGCAAAATTTCATGCTTTTACATTATTTTTTGGAAATCATGTCTGTTTGCTATGCTTTTGCCTCTAGTCTTTTCATAAAGGAAAGACTTTAAAAGCAGAGTCTAATTAAAACCACAGGGAACATTAAAAATAATTCATTTTAGAATTCTAGAGTCCAATGGGAGAGGAGTTTCAGGCACTGGGCACATAAAGGGGTCAGACAGTAGGTAGAGGTGTTAAAGACTCTTATCTATGCTACCTGGGAGACCAGGAGGTCCCACATCTGAAGCCAGGCTGCCCTCAGTTTCAGATTTGTCATGGGTCCTCACATAATCAGCCCTCATTTCACAGAGTCTGTGGCCCAATCTCATCAATAGCAATGGGTCTCTCCAGCTGGAACCATTTTGCTAGAGCTGACTTCCCCATATAGAATTCACATTTGTTTTCTTCACCTTCTGAAAGTCCTTGAAGGATTTTTCTGTCTCCTTCAGTTTCTCTAGGATGATTTGCTCTTTGGCAGATATCTGGGACTCTTCACTTTCTAGTGTTTGTATTTCCTGTTCCAGCCTGGAAAACACACAAACAGAGGATAGGTCACTTTATTGTCCTGCCATCCCTGGGCAGGAGAGCAGCCCCTTCCTGTGGGCTGATGTCCTGGCAGTCTCATACATTACGCTGAGGTGCCACGCCAACGTTTCATATTACAGAGAGCCCTGTGTTTTCAGCTTTGCCCCAGAGTCAATGGAAAACCACCACCTGTGCCTCCACTGGGCACCACCACCACTTTGCAATGTGATTTGGTGTCTCCCCTCCAAATTGACTAATATGCACACTCTCAACTTGGAGGGAGGTATTTTAAAGAGGATATAAAATCTGAAGTTGTAGCTGTCTCAGAATAACTCTCTTCTGTTGGGTTGGCAAAAGGGTAAAGGGCCAGTCTTGCTCAAAGGGAATAAATCCCAAGAGATGGCTGATTGCCAGAATCCTTGGGAACTGGCTGTCATCTCCCCCAGTGGATGGGCCTCTACTGCCAAATAGAGGGGAGAGGACACAACTGGCTTATTCTTCTGGAACTTTCATTATTCAGATCTATCTTATATATTTTCTGAAAGGGAAATTTCAGTACTTCCAGAGACTCTGGGAATATTCCAGAACAGCAGCTATAGTTATGATGTGGGGCAAGTCTCAGCAGCTGTACTCTTTCAATGAAACAATAATAAAAACCCTTAACTCTGATTGGGCATTAAATCTGTGCCAAGAACCCAGCTAAAAATTCTCAAGGGTTATTTAATTTAACCTTCCCAATGACTCCCTAAGTAGGGAATCCCCATTTCACAAATGAGATTATTAGAACTTGCCAACGTTTAAGAAACTAGTTTACTATTGCAGAACCTTGGAGGGCAGACTCAAGCGGGGAAGTCTAACTCTTGACCCTGTTCCTAACCACTGCTCAGACTCTCACTGAATGGAGTCTACAGAGCTTCACACACATCCTGCCGTGTTAAATACCAGGCATGTCAGCAGACTGGGGTGGCCTGTTATGCAGCCATGTTTTGGGCTGTTATGAAGGGATGGATGTTTGCTTGCCTAAAGGACTCCAGACTACCATGCTTCTTGAATTAGTTGGTTTGATCTCATTCATTCATTCATTCATTCCACTTTGCTTTTGGTCTTTTTCCCTCCATCATGCTAGCAGCTGTGCTGCACTGCAGAGTCCACTCCTGCCTGTATGAGCCCCTCACTCCCTTCTTCCTCTTCCAGCTTCTAACCTGCTATTCGGAACTGTCCCCTAGAATAAGCCCTAAAAGAAGAGTTCAATGTGAGCTCTTCTGAGGGGTACCAACAACTGAGATTGCCACATGGGTTTATTTAGGGATGCACTGTGCCCCTTAGATGCCTTTTCTGCTTTTTTGGGGGCGTTTCAGAAAAATGTCTGGATGGGTGAGACTTTGGAGCAATTGAGTTATGATAAACATCCAATTGCAACCCCTCCAAATACATAGTTTCCAGTATACTAATCATTTCATTCACAGTAAAAGTGGAAGACCCTGTAATGACTTGCAAGGCCCTATGGCATCTAGCCTCTCAGTACTTATATGGCCACCACTCTTACCGACTTGCCTATTTCACTTTATGATTTGTTAAACAGAGCTACTCCTTGTTCACTGATTTGTACATTAGGCTTTCCCCTCCTCCAAGAAATCCATCTCAAAGTTCTAACCATTCTTGAAGTTTCAGCTCAGATATCACTCAGCCCTATTAGGCTTTTAAAAATTCACCACCAGGAAATAACTTTGGTTCTCTGAACATTTATTGGCACATTATTTTGGTTTATCAGGGGTCTTATGTCTACTATATGTTAGAAAAGTGGTTCTCAACTAAAGTGATCTTGTCCCCCAGGGGTATTTGGTAATGCTGATCTATTTCAGGTGCTCATAAGTCAAGGCAAATGGAGTTGGTGCTACAGGCACCCAGCGGGTAGAGGTCAGGGATGTTGCTAAACATTCTACAGTGCACAGGCACCCACATGAAAGAACTATCTGGCCCCCAATTTTTTAAAGATTTATTTATTTATGCATACAAGCATTTATTTATGCAGTTATTTATTATGCATGCATACCTGGGGTACAGGCCATCAGTGTGGGGGTGGTGGTGAGAGAATTCACCAGAGTCAGAGAGGGGAACAGAACAGGCAGACTGACTGAAATACCCTGCTGAGGGGAGCAGCGTGTGAGTCAGGAGAGGTCTGCTGCACCATGTGGGTAGCTCCCTGGCCAGGAATCAAACTCATGCTGCAGTGGCTGCAGATAGCTTCATAGGTTGTGTCTTAACCCCTTGTGCCACTAGGGAGGCCCTGGCTCCCCATATTGATAGTACTAGGTTTAGTAACTTTAAATGCTGGGTTAGAATATACATTCTTCCTTTCTCCTACTAAATTCATCTTGGGGGAGGGTATAAATGGTTAATAACGTATACTGAATGATGAAACCAAGCTGCAAAAAGGTGTGGTTCTGCCAAGAAGGGACCTTCCAGATTGGAGATCAGGATGTGTTTGTCAACAAAGTTTATCGTGAGAAGCGTGGGTTGAATTTCAAACAGAATCTAAAGATGTGGAGGCCAAGTGACACAGACATATAAACAAAAAAGATATAAAACTCCTTTGATACTCTAAATGTTCAACAAATCTTCTATGTCTATTCAAATTTTTCTGGGGCAATTAAGGCAAGAGATTTGAGCATAGAATGGGACAACACACCTGGACAGTTAGATCAACTGAACTAATCAATGAATAGAGGAGTTCCAAGCCAGAGGTTTTGTGGATAGACTGAATGATAGCAGTGACCAGATGGGTTCTAAGCAGATTTCATTTGAATTTCAAAGGACAGAGGACCTCCGCTGGCAGTCAGAATGTGAACAGACTCAGTTGTTGTCAAACATATTCCCTGCCTTCCCCCTTTACCTCTCTGAAAAGAGTATATTGACTCATGGATATACACCTAGCTTTGAGATCTGCTTTGCACTTGAAAGTAGGTGGGAAGTACTTCCTGCCCCTTGACTTTGAGCTTAGCCACGTGACCTACTTTAGCCAATGGGAGGTTAGCAGACACAACAAAAGCAGAAGATTGGAATTTGCCTGCCCACTTGGGTTTGTCCTCCTGAGCATCTGCCAGCACCATCAAAAAGCTTCTTGGGCAACTGCTGTCCCTTCAGCCTGGGCTCTGGAAAGAGCATGGGGGAACAGCCCAGAGCCCAACCCAGAGGCAGAAGCTATGGACAATGTAGGTCCCTACCTTAGGTCCTGTAGGTAAAAACTACACCTTCACTAGAGTTGTTCAGCTGAGACCAGTCTAGATCAGCAAACACCCAGCCTACCCACAGAAGTGTGAGCAAGAATAAATGATTTTATTTCAATCCACTGGGTTTGAGAATATGTTGTCATATAGCACTATTGCTGCAAATGCTGATACAGCTATTATATATATGTGTATATATATATACATATACATATATATAAAACATGTATATAAGGATATATAAGAATATATATCCTAAAAATGTGACTCAGTAATACATATCAATAATACACATCAGATCTATCTTCAAATAATATCTAAAGCTAAGGATTGAAAAAGAATATAAAGCTATCCTTGTGCCACTTTGTCCAATCCTCAAAGAAACCTGCAAGGGAACAGGGTAGCCACTCTTGAAGGTTAAGATTGAGAAAATAGGAAAATATCAGTGGTCGTTGTCTCTGGGTAATGGGATACAATTCCAATGTTTTCCCAATGTTTAAAAAATTCATGTGTTCCTTATCTAACCAGAATAAAAACAACAAATTGCCTTTTAAAATATCCCCCTTTGGTCTAGTGCTGATAAGGCAGAGTTTCACAGGCTGAGGCATAAGGAAGCAACTGGACCTCAACTGTTCAAGTGTCGAAAGAAGAGGTTCATGGGTGCACTCCAATGTCTATTTACATTTGATTCAACCAATATTTTGGGAGCTTGTTTGGCTGGACTTGGAGCTAGGTATTTATAAAAGTCTCTAACACAAACAAGATGGTGTTAAAAATGACTGACTTAAAAAAAAAACAGGATGCCTCTAAGTAACTCACTTCTGCTACTGCTAAAGCAGACTTAATGGTTAAGAATTTTTTGTGACCTGATGCCCGCTGGCTGGCCCCACTGTCTCCATGGCCTGCTTCTGCCCCTATGGGTTTCAGTCCTCTCAGCTATATAGTTCAAGTGCTAAAGATTTGGGTCAAGATACCATGTAACTGAGAAGAAATGGAGGGGGGGAATGAAAAGAATCTAGACTCTTACGATAACAACTGAGTTTCACCCCAAAGGGAACAAATTCTAGAAATTAACAGTTTCCATAAATCTAAATCAGTCAGAGTGAACAGCAAACAGATGCATATCTGCCTCTGGGACAGATTCTTGGGTGCTGGGTGGTCCGAGACAGGATCTTTCTCTGGAAAACCCAAGTCCCTGCATTAAGGAGCATCCCCAGAACAGTTACAGGGTTAATAAAAGTCATCTTAGTGGGACCAGAAACGCCACTGTTTTGTAGTTTCATGACCGAAATCTAATGCAGTCTTCCCTGGAGGAGCCAAGTAGATATTGCCGAGCTAAAAATAAAGTCTGGGCAGGAAGTGTAATTTATACACAAGGTCAATCGAGGCTCTTTAGGCTGAGACAGGTGCACATAACAGCCCCTGACCCACTCACTCGGTTTCCTTTTCGCAAAAAGCAGACTGTGATAGGCTATAAGGAAAGATGACACACTGCAGCTGTGGAGGCCTTATTTACTGGAGATAAGGCCAAATGGTCTTATAAAATCTATCTTATCCTGACAGGAAAACACAAAGGACTCTGATCTAGGAAGTGCAACGTTCATTCTCTCATTCCAAAAGCCATTCATCCAACCTTCTATGAGTGCCTTTTCTCCATCAGGCTCTGTGCTGAGCATCAGAGACACAAAGCTGACTTTGCCCCAGTGTCTGCTCATGAGAGTTCTTGGGAAAGTGATGAGAACAGCCAAGTAAACACCTAAGTTACAGCAAAAA